TCGGTTTCTGTTAAATAATAGTTTCAGACCTTCCGAGGCTGACCTAGGAGTCAGCTGGTAGATAAAATAGGAATATCAATTTCGATTGGCTGAGATATGGGACGTGGGAATGTCAGTTAGAACGCGTTTTCAGGGAGTTAAGTTTTACGCGTCGTAGAATACGGACGTGTTAACTTCGTGTGCGGAGACTTGCTCCCCAGTGAGGCTGATAGACCGACCCCAATGGCTATTTTAAAAATGTCCACGTTGACTTGTTTAATAAAATAGATAAATTTAAAATTCCTTTTGTTGAAGTTTTCATTTCGAACAAAACAACTCGCGATCACCCGGCCGGAAGATGAGAGAAAGGAGAAAGTAACTTATAGGTGAATCAAGACCGTTGCTCTAAAACTACACCCAGCGGGAGGTGGATATACAAAATTTCTTCATGTTTATACATCGATATTTTGCTCGTGTTCACTTAATAGTCCGTACTGACTGTTTCTTTTGACTAATATTTATATTCCTTCTCTCGCCGTATGCCAGTTTTGATTAAAGATATAAGTGCCACTTCGTTAAATAACACGGCAATTTAATCTGCTCAAAGGAAAACATGCGTTTGCGTTTCAAAATTGAAATTTACTCATCAAGTCCAATGAAGTATCTTGCGTCCTGGGTAAGACGTTAAACTGCATCCGCGTTCTGGGTATAACGATAAACTACATCCAGCAGCAAGGCCTCTGTTCATGAGGTTTTCAGGGGGCGTGGAACCACCTCTTAATTTCTGATGTTCTCAGGACCACCTTGACTCGGGGTGGTAGCGCCTGTTAGGGTCCCAGCCATGGAAAAATAGTTAAGTATTACCAACAATACTTTTTTGAAAAGAAATATTACCAGCAATACAATTTTGAAGGAAAAATATTATTAGAAACAGATTTTTGAGAAAACAAAATATTACCAGCAATAAAAATGGTGTTGGCATTTGTTGTGGTAGGATCCACCTAATTTGCATAGTGGAGTACCGACCATATAAATATGGTTGGTACCGGGAAGACGAGGGGAGGAATCAAGAGCTTCAATCCAGAGACTCTGCCCGACTGCGACTAAGTCAACACATTCTCCAGGAACGGTCTTCCCAAGAATATACAAAATACTATATGTAAATATTGTGTACACTTTCTTGTTTCAATACATTTTGTTCTAAGTAAATTTTGTATTGTATTATTATTATTTCATGCATTAGTCAAGTTTCAACAGCATTAAATAATCCATTGAGGTTGATATACCGTAAAGCAAAATAAACCAAACGAAACTAAACCAAAGAATACATATTATATTCATACGAATCTATCCTAAAAATGTAGTCGGCATTAAATAACCCATTGCGGTTGATATGCCGTAAAACAAAATAAACCAAACCAATCTAAAGCATAGAATACATATTCTATTCATACGAATCTATCCTAAAAATGTTGTCGGCATTAAATAACCCATTGAGGTTGAAATGCCGTGAAGCAAAATAAACCAAACCAATCTAAACCAAAGAATACATATTCTATTCATACGAAACCACCCTAAAAATGTTGTTGGCATTAAATAACCCATTGAGGTTGATATGCCGCAAAACAAAATAAACCAAACCAATACATGGTCTTCGTGGAATTCTTGTCGACGTCTCCCGAAGATAATATTACGCATATTTTCTATGACAATTTCTCGGACATTCAGGTCGGTAAATGTTGTTAATATTGTTTATTATAAACAGAGCATTTACTTAAATATTTGTATCTATAAAAAAAGAGTGTATAAACACACAAATGTTTTAAAAGAAAATCATTCCTAAGGAGTGGGGAGAATAAAACAACTGTTACAAGGAGTTACATTTAGTCACCAAATCTTTATTTCAACAAGACTAAAGTGATACACGTTATTTCATACCATTACGTCATTAAAAGAAACATATAAAGTAACCCTCCACCTTGAATAGTTCTCAGTCCTTCTATTTGGTGTTAATGAAATAGTACAATTGTACAATAAAAAACAGTACAACAAAAATAACTTTGTATCATGGATTATTATTACATGCTTTTGAAACGCATCTTTTCTACCTTTCTAAGTTAAATGAAGCAAAATATATTTACTCTATTTAAATAATTCCATTCTCATTGATGATCCGCACTAAGGGACTTGTGTCAACTTATGATATTCCAGAAAAGATTTTTTTATTGATATATCTTGCAGGTAATAATAATTTATTGATAGTAATCCTTTTAATAATTAACCCATCAGTTTTTAAGCAATAAATGACTTTAAAATTTTACCAGAACGAAATATTTGAATATAAATTGATTTTTGATCTGATGAGACGAAACCAAGTTATCGGTTTTGCAAAATAAAATATTACCATGGCTTTGAACGTCTCCACTTACATAATTATATATATATATATATATATATATATATATATATATATATATATATATATATATATATATATATATATATATATAATTATGAAAGCGGAGACTTTAGAAAATCATGCTAATTTATTTCATAAAACTGATAAATTTGTTTCATCGAATCAAATCAATATATATATATATATATATATATATATATATATATATATATATATATATATATATATATGTATGTATGTATAAAATATGAATATGATTAGCATCATACCAGCTCCATTTCTGCTTACTATGGCCGTAACAAATATTCTGGTGTAAAATAAAATGGCAGCACCGTGATGTCTGTTACTTATTAATCAAGACTGATTTGTTTTTACGAATTTTTGGCAGGCTTTTTAAAGCAAGAAATGATTTTTATGAAGTATGTTTTAGAGATAATAACAATTTATTGAGAGAAGTCTTAGCAGTTAAACTCAAGATTAGGAGATGATGATGGGTGGGTGGGGGTAGTTCATACCATTCTCAATGGTTTTCGTGCTGTTATACCTGAACGTACCTATTCTATTATTAATAGACTCTCCCACACATAATAAGTAGTAGTATTAGTAGTAGCGGTCGCCAGTTGGGCTCAGTGGAGTTGAGTGAGTCAGTCGATGTCGGACATTGAAGTATCAACCATCACAACTAGATTGCTGCGTCATTAATTATTATTTCAAGTTCCTAACGTTTTGTACGTCGGACCATTTTAAGACCGAATTATTGAAATACAAGCCTCCACTGTGAAAACTACTCTACAACAGGTGCCTATGTGAATATAAAGAATTTGACTGCAATTGGAACTCGGTTCTCCAGTTTCCAATTCTAAGCTATTGTCCAAGTTTACAAGACCTGATATTCCCAAGAGGGCATATATCTAGGTACTGATTATGTTCTGCCTCCCCCACCCCGTGCGTTCGCGTCCGTAGTATTGCAGAGAGTCAGAGAAACGCTTTAATGTAATTAAAACTCTGAAGAAGATGAAGTCCCGTGCATCGGACGGTTTTTATTAAGAACCAAAATTATAAAACTAGGAGAAGAATAAATAAATATAAATAAGACAAGTTAGTCTAAAAATACAAACAAACAAGGGTAACGAGAAATAACAATGGCTGTCAGATGTTTAAACCTAATATTAAGAACATTTGTCTAAATAAGTAATTCCCAACTGATTTTAAGCCATGCCCAACTTTGGTATTTCTAAAATTTTGATGTCCCACTGTAATATTTAATTCGTACATTTTTACTTCAAAATTAACTGCAATTCACGTGAAGGAAGCTTAAAAGGCCATTAACTTGGTCTCTAAGCAAGCCTCAAAAGACCATGGGGTCAGCGAATGAGGAAAATCAAAAAAGGAAAAATACAGCTAAATATATATAGTTCCAAGACCTAATAGAGAATTGAAAGGCAGATAGATAGATAGATAGATAGATAGATAGATAGATAGATAGATAGATAGATAGATCATAAAATAATAATGCAAAATGAAATTTGAGCTCACTAGAAAAGAATTCACTGTTAACAACTCATTCTCGAATTGTCTCCTTATTCTGTTGGTATAATAAGCCGAAGGGTGCACATCGTTCGCATTCCTCACAAAAATATTACCATGCCCAACCGGTGGGGTACGCCCCGCACGTTGGGAACCATTGTGATAATTTATTCAACAACAATTTATAATGGTCTTGATAATGTTATTTTATCAATTTACGGATATTAGTTTTGTTACCAAGACACAATCAAGGAAGTCGTAGTCATTATCGATCCCACTATTAATGATTTATAATCCAATAAGGATATAGAAGCTTATGCAATGGATTTATCATTATTTATCAAAGTGATCAAAAATCGTGAAAGAAAATGAAGAATATGCATAAACATTCAATATTCCTTATGTGTGTTTGTCGGAATTTTATTTACGGAAAATAAAATGTCGTAGTTATTTAAAGATGGGAAAATTATCTAATTTCATATTTCAGTTGGTAAAAAAAATGATAAAGTTGAATGCGAAATTCTATCAGTGTAATATGAAATTCCCACATGTAATCTCTTTGATAGAGATAAGAAAGAAAAAATATCGTAAGAGATTGAATAATTTTGGAAAGAAATTGGCGAATTTTCTTTGATCACGAAATGAAAAATGACTTGTGTTCTTCAAAATTTGATATTGTGCCAGAAAATAAAGAAATTGAGAAACAATCTACATATATTTATATATACACATATAGGCACAAAAACACACACAGTCACAAATATATATATATATATATATATATATATATATATATATATATATATATATTCATATATATATATATAAAATATATAAATGGAGAAATAAATACGAACAGGAGAATTCATGTAAATAAAGAGACATAAAACATGGATATATATATAAATATATATATATATATATGGAGATAGATAGAAGATAGAGAGAACAGGAGATACATCGTTCTGAATATAAATAGATATATCTCAACATAATTAGAATAGATAGATAGATGAATAGATAGATAGAGATAGATAGATGAATATATATATCGTTCTGAATATATAGATATATCTCAACATATAGATAGATAGATAGATGAGATAGAATGAATAGATAGAGAGATAGAGAGATAGATAGATAGATAGATCGTTCTGAATATGAGATGGATATATCTCAACATAATTAGATAGATAGATAGATAGATAGATAGATAGATAGATAGATAGATAGATAGATCGTTCTGAATATGAGATAGATATATCTCAACATAATTGAATAGATAGATAGATAGATAGATAGATGAATAGATGATAGATAGATAGATATATCGTTCTGAATATCAGATATATCTCAACATAATTAGATAGATAGATAGATAGATATGATAGATAGATAGATGATAGATAGATATGAATCGTTCTGAATATGAAATGGATGTTTCTCAACATAATTAGATGATAGATAGATAGATAGATAGATAGATAGATCGATGAATCTGAATCGTTCTGAATATGAGATAGATATATCTCAACATAATTAGATAGATAGATAGATAGATAGATAGATAGATAGATAGATAGATAGATAGATAGATAGATAGATAGATAGATCGTTCTGAATATGAGATAGATATATCTCAACATAATAGATAGATAGATAGATAGATAGATAGATAGATAGATAGATAGATAGATAGATAGATAGATCGTTCTGAATATGAGATAGATATATCTCAACATAATTAGATAGATAGATAGATAGATAGATAGACAGATAGATAGATAGATAGATAGATCGATCTTGGCACAATGAGATTGATAGAAAACAACATTCTTCCCCTGAAAGTTGTAAAGATCAAATATTGATAAATAGAATGATCCTGGAAAATTGCAAGAGATGCTGTAGAAATCCCCCCCCGTATGGACAGCTTACCTTAAAGCATTTGATAGTGTCTCACCCTCCTGGTTCCTTATGGGTTTTTAAATATACAAAGTCTCCTCGATGATAGTAGATATCTTTAAACACAGCATGAGAATGTGGAAGACGACATAATACTCAAATCACACTAGAGGCCCTGCCATTTGAGTATCCGACGAAGTGCCTTTTAAGCAGACTTTCTGTCACCTTTGAGAGATATCTAACTTTGCAAGGGGAATAAACAGGAGATAACTGACATCCGTTAGATACGGCACATGGAACTAGAACAGTCTCCTCCAGTGAGCGAAATAAAGGATTCAGTTCGACATTCCAACCACTTGAAGAAGGCCGGAGCGTACAACGGCCGGAACGTTGTAATAAATATGGCGACAAAGATAAGAACAATAGTCCGAATAATGTAAATAATGCACATAATACCTCATCTTAGAAATATAGACAGGCCTAATGTTGGCTAACTAAAGATAACTAAGCTCATATACAGAAAAATTATGTTGACCAAAATGCATATTCAATGATAAATATCCAGAAATAATTGACCATCTTGTATCAGGTTGCACATTTTTAACACCCACTGAATATAAAAACAGGCATGACAGAATTGGTCAATATCTACATTGGAAAATCTGCAAATTTTGCGGAAAGGAAACTGCAAGAAATTGGTATGAACACCACCCAAACCCTGTTGCTGAGATAGGACTTGTAACAATTTTATAGGACTTTATATTACACACAGACAGAACAATCAAAGCTAATCGCCCAGACATTGTGATTAGAGACCGCAAAAAATAAAATGTGCCATCTTTTCAATAAATGGCACTCCCTGCAGACTGTAATGTGTCTTTGAAGATCTTCAAAAACTATAAAAATACATTGATGAAGTAGAAATCTCAAAATTAAGGCCAAAAAGGACATCAACAATTCCTGTTGGAGTTGGAGCCATCGAACTGTTTGAAAACGGTTTCAATAGACTTGTTGAAGTAATTTCTGGTAGCCCATGATTTAAAGAAATACAAAAGAAATATACTCACAAGTACTTGCCCAAACCTAACGAAGAGCTTTATCTGTGTAAAACATGTGAAATTTTCGGTGTTTTGTTTTTTTTTAATTTTTTTCCTCAAAATCTGCTCTGCGGAAAATGACATGACACCATTTCTGACCTTTTGTCCCTGGTTGAGACCCGGAAAAAATTAGTATACTCCATAAATAATAATAATAATAGTCTAGTAGTGTGTGTGTGTGCGTGCGTATGCGTGTGTTTGTGTTTGTTCGTGTGTATGTGTGTGTGTGTGTGTGTGTCCAGATACGATGAGAAAGAATAAAATACAAACTCGGATCAATACAGAGTACAGTAATATTATTTTAGGAAGAACATATTTTTATGTAAGAAATTCTCAAAACATATACTCAGGAAATCAAAATAATAATAATAATAATAATAATAATGATAATCTAGTATTAAGCTCAAATTCTAAAATGGGGGTACCATAGTGAAAAGTTTCTCATAACAATTTCCATGTAAATATTTATAGAAGAGGCAATGTGAAGCTATTTTACCATAGTGAGAAAAATGATTGAAGCTGATATGCTAGATTAGGACCAATAACATTGCAGATTGGATATTTCCATGAATCTGTCGATACATAGGAATAACACTAGACTAGATGGGGTAGCAATAATCAATGTACGAGTGAATGCAACTTGCAAGTTAGATTCTGGCGAGAAATATAGTCCAGCATAACACAGCGAGCCAAGTTTGCTTGCCTCTGTGTTACATTCCATATAACCTGCCATTACCTGTTTTTAGGAAATTGCTAAATACCCCAATCAATGCTATTTAGTTTAGCATTTCATATCGCAGGATATTTTATTCGTTTCTTCCTGTCAACTGCTGATGGACTGACGATATTTGTGGCTTTATGTTTTCCAGCAAAATTTAATCTGGAAAGATTTAACAAAAATGTCAATCGACATCAAATGACATCCTGGTTACGTTTCTTCTGTTCTCGATATTAAGTAAGGTTTCTGTTTACTAATTCGTTCACACCCAGTGTCATCTTGTGTCTTAGTGGCTTTACTGTCTTTCTTGGGGTGAACTTGATTAAAAAAATAAGTTCAATAAATTCCAACCTTATAAGTCATTATTTTGTTCATTTTTATTATTATTTCTAACAGACTGGATTTTTGGTTTTTATTGATAAACAGGAAACGCACTAGAAATTTACCGTTGACAGTCGACCATCAGCAAGATCATATAAAAATCTCTCGTCAATGAAACTGTTCTGCTAAACCCGTAGTAGATTCAATAAATATTTTGCGATTATATATCTGTTTTGCTCGCTTAGAGATTAAAAATTAGATTAAAAAAATCACTTCATTGCCCTTACAGAAACTATCTGGGGTAATCTTGGATTTATTTGTTCAATACATAAAATTAATCTGAAAAAACATTATCTCCAGATAATCAACAAAATTTTATTGTCGCTGAAGAACAACAGAAATGTCTTAGAGTGATGAACAGAATAATTTAACGAATCCGGAAAAAAAGGAATGAGAGAGAAATCCTCGATTTTAAAACAGAAGGTTAATCCAACATTTGATTTGGTCCGATATAATTAGGGCAGAATATGGAGTTGTAGATACACGCTATATGGAGGCACGGTGGAGTAATGGATAGCGGCTCGGATTGAGGAATCGGAGAGCGAGTTCGAATTCCAGTCGAATCAATTTCATTCACTTACTTGCTAATATCTTTGAAAAGGTTTTAAATCCTCTTCTTTTCCCCCAATCTATGGGTAAATAACAGGACAAACCCGGTTGTATTGCCTTGGATGGCAACTGGTCTAAGGGAGAAAAAAAATGGCAACCTACTACTGGAAAACATTTGCCTCGTCAGTCATATACCCAAAGATATATGATCGCCTAAGCGTGTATCACACACACACACACATATATATATATATATATATATATATATATATATATATATATATATATATATATATATATATATATATATATATATATATGATGAAATGGACAAAGTCCGACAATTATTTAATGAGATTTTTATGTTTAACATACTTTTATTGATTCAAGTATTTAAGTAAATGCTCTGTTTATAATAAACAGTATTAAACAACATTTACCGGCCTTAATGTCCGAGAAATTTTCATAGAAAATATTTGTTTACATATGATTCGCTATGAGCAGTTATGAATGTACGTGAGAGATTCATGGAAGATTGAAGTTTATAAGCAGTAAATTCGACCTTGCCAACTGAACGATCATTTGTGGCCGAGTGGTAAGGCACGTTAGGCTATATGACGGCTCCGTAAAGGATACCGGTTCGAATCCTGTCAAAGAACGAATATTTTCTATGAAAACGGTAAATGTTATTTTATACTGTTTATTATAAACAGAGCATTTGCCTAAATACTTGTATCAATAAAAAGAATGTTAAACATATATATATATATATATATATATATATATATATATATATATATATATTACTACTAATAATCTTATAAATATAAGCAGCTATACTCATCCAGGAAAAACTTAGGTGATTTAGCATGCAAATGGACCAACCAATACCCAAGTTAAAAAAGAAAGAACTAAGAACATTTATTTCCAGCGAAAATAATCCTGTAAAATGAAAGTTCAGAGTCCAAAGAAAAAAAACCCGGCACAAGTAAAAATAAGTAAGCAAATTGCTCAATACGCAAAGTAGAGCAATCTAAGATAAGTAAACCTAAAAAGAGCCAGAAACATGGCTCTTTAGGCTCTTTGGGTTTATATATATATATATATATAATGAAAAAAACAGACAAATTTAAGGTACCATTACAATAATTTATTTCACCAAAATCCTTTTTGAAGGACTTCGGATCATCAGGTAACACTTCAACTTAAAATGAAATGAAAAAATAGTAAAAAGCTCTGGATTATTGAACTCAGGATTTCATCCTCTTGGAATTACCCATTCGGTTTACCAAGTTCTTCGTAACTTGTATATATATATATATATATATATATATATATATATATATATATATATATATATACAGATATAATGTAGAATAAAACTACAATACTGAAAAATAAAGAAAAAACCAAAGGACAAACTCCCCTACTCAGTAAGCTGCTTGAAGCCTAGATTGCGTTGACTAAGCAAAAAATATCTGAACAATGTTAAATTCTATAAAAGGTTGGCTGTAGTTGTAACCCGAGTTTTATGACATGCAATCTTCAGACGACGTGAACGGATCAAGTTTAAGCCGTCCAAATATCGGATTACGATGAGAGCCACACTTGTATGTATATATATATATATATATATATATATATATATATATATATATAATAAAAAGGCTTTGTCAAATTTTCTTAATTACACAGCGGCTTTTTTATAAATGCCATTCAGTTTTAGATTCACCCGATCCATCTCTCTCTCCCACCCCTTTTACTTTTCTGTTCTTTTCCTCTCCTTCCCTCTTCTTCTGATCTTATGATTAGATCGTCTATTGTGTGTGTATGTCACCACAAAATATATTATTTCCGGTTACATCTTTAATGTATTAGACATCCGACAACATTCATATTTCTCTCACTAAAAGTTATCTCTGTTAATTTTTAATCCCCCACCTTCTTGCGTCTGTTACCCTTCTCTATAGTTCTAACATTCGTCCCACACTCTCATACTTAGAGTCCTTCTAAATTTTCTTTTTTATTTCCGGAGTTGTATTTTCTGTTTTATCTTGAATTTGTAGGTCTGATGAATTGGATCGTATTTACGGAATAAATATAAATAAATATTTATGGAATAAATTATGACCATGGAATATTAGTGTTTAAGCCTTTTTTATTATATCCTTACTCTGTTATGGACATTGAGTTCTACCTGGATTCTATCGTCTTGGAATTTTTTTATACAAATATATATGTAATGTGTATTTATGCATGTATATATATTTATATATTTTGCATATGTATGTGTATATTTAGCACTAATATTATCTCTCTCTCTCTCTCTCTCTCTCTATCTATATATATATATATATATATATATATATATATATATATATATATATATATATTTATATATATGCTGAACGGGCGCGTGCCGAGTCATTACAACCTTTGCTTTACAATCGTTAGAATCTCACCATGGTCTAGTTATCTGGAAGATGAGTCGATCCTTTTTTTTTAAACAACGATCATGACATTGGAATCGTAATTACGATCCAATACATCAGACCTACAAATTCAAAAAAAAAAGAATTTTTGAATTTGTAGGTCTGATGAATTGATCGTAATAATTACCTATATATATATATATATATATATATATATATATATATATATATATATGTGTGTGTGTGTGTGTGTGTGTGTGTGTCTAGATACGATGATGAAAGAATAGAATACAAACTCGGATCAATACAGAGTAGACCAATATTATTTATTTTAGGATGAAAATAGTTTTATATGGGAAAATATCAAAGCATTTAACTTGTTTAGCATTTTGTTAAATTAATGCTCTACTCCCCTTTTTTATTTTTTAGGAAACTGCATTTTATGCTAATATATATATATATCCGCTTTACTTTTACTTCTGGCTGCTGTTAGTTGCCAATCTGCGGGTCATGGCCCATTTATAAAAAGAAAATATATTTTTTTAATTTTTGCTTCTCCGCTTAGGTTAAATTTAACCTATCACATATTTAATTGGTTGATAAGAGTAATGCACACAAGCCTTATAAACCCGTTTTTTTCCGAAAAAAGAGTTTGTATTTTGTTTTGGACTCATGATAAATCCTTCACTCATGAAATTAATAATCGCCTGATATATATATATATATATATATATATATATATATATATATATATATATATATATATATATATATATATGAAATGGACAAAAGTCAGACAATTATTTTAAGACATTTTTATTTTTTATACATTCTTTTTATAGATACGAATATTTAAGTAGACATAAAAATATCTTAAAATAGTTGTCGGTCTTTGTCCATTTCATAATGTGTGACGTCACTTTTTACATTTGTATACGCATTGAGCAGATATGAATGTACGTGAGCGATTCATGGAACATTGTAGTTTAAGGACAGTAAAATTGACCTTGCTAATTGCACGCTCCTGTTTGGGCAAATCCGTTAAAGGCACGGTTCCGTATAGGATACAGGTTCGATTCCAGTCCGAGGACGCATATTTTTTATGACAATTTCCCAGACATTCAGGCCAGTAAATGTTGTTTAGATCATTTACTTAAGTATCTGTATCTATAAAAAATATGTATAAAGATAAAAATGTCTTCATATATATATATATATATATATATATATATATATACACACACACACACACACACACTGTTTCGCTGTGTGTCTATAAATAAAAAAAATATAATTGTGATTGTTCTAAGCGTAGATTAGATGTGGTAGTGGTAGAAGTTCAAATGTATGGGGCATCCAGTTTGGATCGGATCGAACATGCTATTCATTCGTAATCGATCAAACAAAACAACTCTGCTAACTGTTGCCACAGGTCGAAACGCCCAAAATGATTTTCTAAGCGTGCCACAAGTTCGAATATTTTGAACACCCAGTAAGAATCGAAATCACTATTCAGTCCTAACTGATCTAGCGAAACAAACTTGCTAACATATACACCATGTCAAAATGCCGAAATCGATGTTTTAAGCGATGCTTGGATGTGACACAAGGCCGAATGTTTGGAGCACCCTATGAGGATCGAACTCACTACTCAATTGTAACTGTCCTAGCGAGACAAGCTTTCTAACCATTACACTATATTGAATTCCCGCGGATGATTTTCCAAGTGTTGCTTAGATGTGGCACAAGGCCGAAAATGTGGAGCATCCAGTGAAGTTCAAACACAGTACTTAGTCATAATTTATCTGTCGAGATAAGCTAACCATTACACTACGTCATTGTTCCCGCTCTTCTGTAGTTAATAAGCACCATTGTTATTAGTCCTCTGATTACAAAGTAACCTTCTCGAGACATTACTGTCAGGTCAATCTTGAAAATCTCAAATTTTCTGAATGTGTCTTCAAGGCCTAAAAAGTAATTAAAGTTTCTACGTTAAGAGCCGAATACAATTTGTGTATTCAGACACCAGCACGGTTTAGGAGTTTACCCAAAATCTTGAGAATCTACTAATTTTAACTTTAAAGATTATGGATAAATTTATAGAAAATATATATATATTAATGTTAATAATAAAATTTCGGCTTTCCCTCACTGTGCAGCCAGTACTTATTTCTATGAAATTTATAAAATCTTTCTTATAAATTAATTTTTTTCGGGTAAATAGTTTTCACAAGTCCAGTAACTCTTATCGGTCTTTTCAGTATTGATTACGTTAACCTTTTATTTGAAGTAGTTACCAAAATCGACATGTTGTTTATATCAGATTTTCCTCTTTCATTTACATGTGATATCCATCTGGCGTGTTGCTTTGGCCTGAATATCCCATGGTGTCTTTTATCTGGTGTAATTCTTAGTTTAAGATATTGTATCGCCGGTCCGCTGTGTTTGAAGATAGGTCACCGCTAAGATTCACATGATTCATTCGCGCAAAGCCACTTTCAAATATTGATCTGAGAAAGCGGATGTATACAGCCCCGAGCTTATATAGTTCTGTACGAGTTTTGCACCATGAATGGCTACCATATGAATTTCTTCTTCTGATAAGCATATTTCAGAACATGCCACCTGATTTAGGTTAATGTTTAGGTTCCGGGGCAGTTGGTGGTATTGAGTGAAACTACCCTACATCCATTTCTCTACTCAATTTTTTTTATCTCCTATGAAAAATTGAATGTAACTGGTCCATATACCGATGTTTGTTTTTCTTTTAACACTATATTCTACATTTTTAGGCCATATCGGCTTTCTTTGCAATACTAGATAGTAGTTTATGTTGCTATAAATGTTTATCTTGAGTTGTACTTCATAAGGCTCTGCGTATAGAAGTATTTTAAGGCTATTTATACGGCAATTATGAATACCAATGTCATCGGTATAGCCTACCTCATCATCAGAACACTGACTTAAATCACTAATATAAAAAACAGATAGATAGATAGATAGGGTACGGCTAAAGTACATGTGGCATCCCTTCGACTCTAAAGTTTTACGAAAATTGGGATCGTGATTACATGGAAAACATCTTCTCTGTTTATATATAAGCAATGTCATGTTTTCCATATTTTGTCTGAACTTCTCGAACGATGTGTCACCTTTGCAATTTCGATCATTACTTTACAGCCAATAGGATATCTGTTTGGATGGGAAATAGCACGTGTCTTTCGTTTGCTTCATTATATGTACAATCGTTCCGAATTACAAAAGTCCGGACTTGATAACCGTTGCTAACTGACACCATGGTTGTCTGTCGGAGTTATAAATCTTAATCCTTCTTCTTTCTTTATTTGTTCTTTCTTTCTATTTGTTCTTTCTTTCATTCCTTTACTCCTGTATTTCGTCCCTTTTTGATTACTCTTTTCTTCTTTCTTTCTTTTTCTTGTATTTCAGTCTATCGTCTTTTTTTGATTTTTTCTTTCTTTCTTTCTTTCTTTCTTTCTTTCTTTCTTTCTTTCTTTTATTCTGTCTATCGTCTCTTTTTGATTTTTTTTCTTTTCTTTCTTTCTTTCTTTTATTTTTCTATTTCTTTTGATTTTTCTTTCTTTCTTTCTTTCTTTCTTTTATTTCTGTCTATCGTCTCTTTTTGATTTTTCTCTTTCTTTCTTTCTTTCTTTCTTTCTTTCTTTTATTTCTGTTAATCGTCTCTTTTTGATTTTTTCTTTCTTTCTTTCTTTCTTTCTTTTATTTCTGTCTATCGTCTCTTTTTGATTTTTCTCTTTCTTTCTTTCTTTCTTTCTTTTATTTCTGTCTCTCGTCTCTTTTTGATTTTTCTCTTTCTTTCTTTCTTTCTTTCTTTCTTCTCACTCATTATTTTGTTCTTTCTTTTATTTGCTTTACTTCATTTCTTTCATTCTTGATTTCTTTCGTTGTTTCTTTCTTTCTTTCTTTTTTCTTTCTTTCTTTATTCATTTTCTTTCTTCCTCTCTTTCCTTCTTGATTCCTTTCGTTCTTTCATCTTATCGAACTTATTCTTTTCATTTAAGAATATTTTGTGCAAATTTATCTTCATTCTGATTATTTTGCAAGCTCCAAGTATTTATCGATTTTAATTGTAACATTTTGCCTAAAGGGAGTTAACTCTCAATACATTAACAAGATGAAAGTTATCTCCCGCCAAGTAGCCATGTCTGTTTTCATAATGGCCGACTCTTCGAAGATGTTTGCAAAACCAATGGTGAAGCCTCGATACTGTGAAAGAGAGAATGACAATAATTGTAAAGTAAATGGACTAAGGAGTTAAAACTTGCTGCTGCTGTTGCTGCTACTACTACTACTATTACTTCTACTAATAATAATAATAGTAATATTAATACTAGTAGTAAGAGCTTTAACGAAATATGTCCTCATTTTTATGGCATAAAATTTGTGCTATTATAAGATTGTAGAATACATCAAAAGAGGGATTAATTTTCTTCTAAGCATAAACTGAGCTATCCAGTTCTCTTCGTGCCAAAATGTTACAATGGAGAAGGATAGATTGTGAGTTTACTAATCAAGACATCTGTGTATATTTCTGAGATGTGGTATTATGTACACTATTTACATTATTCGGACTATTGTCCTCATCTTTATCGCCATGTTTATCGAAACGTTTCGGCTGTTTTACACTCCGGCCTTCTTCAGTTGGTTGAAATGTCGAACTGAACCCTTTATTTCGCTCACTGGGGTAGACTATTCTAGTTCTACGTGCCATGTCTAAAAGATGTCAATTGTCTCCTGTTAATCCTCCTCTCAAAGTTCTCCACCGCCTTAACCAGGTATTGAACTCACATACATGGCACAGTGGGTAAAGCCGTTTGTTAGATCCAGTGACAGGACCCTAAGAGTGCGCGTTCAATACCTGGTTAAGGTGGTGAAGAACTTTGTGAGGGGAATTAACATCCATTAGACATGGCATGCGGAACTAGAACAGTCTACCACAGTAGTTCGCTTTCTTACCATGAGACCCGAGTTCAAATCTCACCAGGGTGGATTTGTCAGGAAGTGACCTTGATGTTATCGGTCTGGAGGGGGTGACACCAGCATGCGGCACCTTTGGAAAGTGCCTGAAAACAATACCACGGGTTAACCCAAGCCTTGTGAGTGAAATTGAGTAAACGGAACCCATGGGAGGCGTTGGTTATTATCTTAGCACAAAGTTACAAGCCATCATGACCGAGGGATTCACTCTCGCTTCTTTAAAGGGTTCAGTTCGACATTCCAATCACCTGAAGATGACCGGAGCGTACAACGGCCGACACGTTGTGATAAGCATGGTGACAAAGAGGAGGACATTATTCCGAATAATGTACATAGTGTAGTCAAGTCATGCTAGTCAGTAATGACCATTTCTTTCACACGATGATATCTGGAGAGAAATTGTCAGGTAATCAGCTACACAGTGATGCTGCGACAACACCTGGTCATGGGACTGAAGTACATGATCCCTTATGCTATCGTCTATCTTTACAACAGGTAGATCATGCCGATAATGGAGTACTATTAACATGTTTGGGTGGAAATTGCCCGGCCTTCACTTTCCAGTTCTGTTAGATTTTAAGTGTGTCTCCAAGTCATTGTAGAATTATTTTCCATGCCTATCGTCTGTCAAGATATGGCGAGACTCATATTCAAAATGTCCTCCGCTTGATTCACATGCGTGGAAACGTCGGATCATTGACTGTCTGACTATTTCAAATACTTCCAAACGATGTCAAATGGTTTATTAGGCTACAATGACACGTTGATGAAGCTTCTCTGCATTATTAATCTCTGGCGCATGAAACAATTGTTTTAGGTGGCTCCCCAGATAAAAATGTAAAGGGTGGAGGTCAGGGGAACGATATAGGTCATGGAACCAGTCCTTTCCTAACTATCCATGTTTCATGGTCGATATCAGCCAATGAAAAATAAGACGAAAACATACTGGAGTTCCATCAATGTATGAACCAAATGCGTCTTCGTATTAGCAGGGGTACATCCTCTAGCAGGTATGGAAGTGTGTTCGGAATAAAGTCCCTGATGACAGCTTTTGTAAGACGTGTTGGAGAATATATGGAATGACGAGACAGTTGCCTACAATTCCAGCCCACATATTAATTCTAAACTGATGTTGGTATCTAGACTGCATTGTTTTATGGGGATTCCGATCCGCCCACAAATGTTGTGGAAATTTGTTATTCCATCTCTTTCAAATATTGCCTTAGCAGTAAACAAGAAACAAACAACAGATCGTCAGTTTATTTAATAAACCAACGGCAAAACTTCATTTGTGGTGAGTAATTAGAGGACGAAACACTCTGCACATGTTGCCAATGATACGGAGCCAGGAGCTGCACACCCAGTTGTAGGCTCCGGACTTCTTCAGGTCGTTGGAATGTCGAACTGATCCCAGCGAGCAAAATAAAGGGTTCAGTTCGACATTCCAAACACGCGAAGAAGGCCGGAATATACAATGGTC